TGAAAGCTTGGAGTCTGAAATTTGATATAGAGATATATCATAAAGGGGCCAAAAACATTTATGTAAAGATTTTTATCATTTTGTAAGTTGGGAATTAAGAAAATTGTGGTGATGCAAATTTTTAGATTTTGTCTTGACAGTTAACAGTCAGGGGGACGGGATTTATAACAGAGTTAAGTTGCGCACAGAAGTAAGTCCTTAGAGCAGTATGCCTATAAATGTGAATTTATGTTTTCTTTCAGCCACTGTACACAGACGGGAGCATTACAGGATAGGGAGATCCTGAGCACTTCACGCCTCTGAAGAATGTATTCGATTGAAGTTGACTGCGCTATTGGTTGTACCAGCAGACATGAAATAAACGAGGAAGATAGATTCGTTTGGATTCATGTTCCAACGCTTGCAGTGCTTGGACGAAGAAGACCTCTGGTAATTGCCATTAGGCGGGTTTCTATTGAATCTTAAAAAAACAAAAGAAAAAAAGAAAATCAATTGTAAATTTTGCCCCTGTATTTAATTAAGCACTCAATAAATATGTATTGGGGAGTGGAGGTATATCTCAGCGTGTTATTAACCTTACCACAAGACAGACAGCCAACTTTACAGCCGAAGAAATACCCAGCCTGCTCATTGGTTCCCAGAATCGGTCTGTACCTGGTGATGAAGAGAAAAGTAGCCGCCAGGAATCGAATCCCAGCCGCCCATTCCATTTTTGTGACAGTGGCAACGCTTCTGCTTCGTATGCGGATGTAAGAGGTTCGATGCCCGTGACAGTGCATCCAGATGGACTGTTTTCATGAGCAGCATGGTCATTCCATGAATCTACGGAACCAAGCACTAAGGACGCTGGAACGGGAACTAAAAATGGAAAACTTACTGTGATAAAGACACTATTTGCCCAAGTATATGTACATATTTAATATAAGAAGGGTGTGTACATTTATTTTAACTGCTAATAAATCTAGCACTTGTTTAAAAATTGTTGGTGTAAGTTGCAGGCACATGCGAAGAACAGACAAAAGAAAGACGAAAGAAATGCAAGGTAAATTAAATAAGAGAAAATAAAAATAAGTTGAAAGACAAATTCAACTGGCTTTTTCATCTTACTACGAGGAAGTAACAGTTAAATAGGTTTTCAGTGTTTGGCAGTCAGGTGCGCGCAGTGATCCGACGTGCCACTTTGAGGACTTACAAGAACTTCAGCACAAGACGGAGGAAAGGATTGAGTGAGCGACGGATGAGCATAAAACGTTATTACGATAGGAATTCCCCTTCTCTGAAGGCTTTAAGAAGTTGATCCCTCTGCAGGATCAGTAATTCATCAAAGTATAGTCGTTACTGAAAACATTGATCCACGCGCCGCCTCTCCTTGGTATAGATACAGGAAAACAACATGGCGTGCGAGCGACCGTTACAAGCGGCTCGTTATGGCCACAGCCGTGACGTCAAACAAGAATGTGTATCCATTGACACCGCAGCTGAAGTCACCTCGCGCAGCGTAGAGTTAGTTCGAATTCATGGTTTATGTAATTCGTGTGGTTGCGTTGTGACTCTGTGGTGGGTTATGCGAAAATAATAAACCGCGTTATAAATGTCTAAGTAAGAAAAAGTATCTGCAATTTTAGTGCGTGTGAGCGCTTGTGTGTATGTGCATGTGAGTTCCATTTATAAAATTGAAAAAAATTAACTTATCGGAGTAATATTTTCCTTGCAAAATTTGAAAGACCATTTGCCAGTAATGGTAGCAATTCATTTCTGCTGCTCTGTTTCCCCCTTCGTATTCCACCTGCAAAACTAAACGCTCGATCCGTATAGGCTTAGCTTTAGTTGATATCAATAACTGAACTTGTGATGGTGACATCTTTCAGGATTGGAAGGAATCAGGAATTGTGATAATATTTGCACAACACACACCTGGCCAATGTTATATAACCACAACCGCCTAAAAGTATTACTTAAATAACATTACCATTGTGTGCCCTGTCTGGATTTGCAGATTAGCCATTCTCTGCTGAAAACGACAAATAACGTTAAGTAATGCCATTTTCTTCTGGTTCAGATATGTCACAGTTTGTGGCACTTCAGTAACTGAAATAGTTACCATTATAACAACATGGAATACCAAAATCAAAACAGTTTCTTCCAAGAAAAATTATTCTAAGTGAATTTTAATCAGTTAAAAAGACAGAACGAAACAGACAATCTAGAATGTACAGTTTCTATACGTGCCGTTCGAAGCGCTGGCGCTGCGGTAAGCCGCCATTTCTGCAGATTTCTGTCCGGGTCACAGTCTAGCGATATTAATAAACTCTTGTTGAGTACTTAAATAACAGCCATTACTGTAGTAGCCGTTTCCAAATCGAATGCTCTAAGTCCACGCGCTGCTCTAATCAAACAGTAATAAGCTGCTATTTCTCCTACGCTGCGAGATCTTAGCTGTCAGCTGTCTTTAATCGCCTGGTCTACGCTGTGTTGCAACGTTGTGCGATTTTTCTGTGACCTTGAATGATGCAATTTGATGACGAGTACAGTCTAGTACAGGGCAGAATGCGATAATAAAAATTCGTAAGACATATTTTTCCTACTTTATGGATGGAAGAAGCGTGGCGCTGTTTCTTACCCAACAAATCCTTGGACTGTGTAAATAAAAATACATACAGTAAAACTATCCCGCGAGATATAATGCAACTCCAACTTTCCACGGGCTGTTACCACCTTTAGCATTGTCCCTACCATCTGAGCAAGTTCATAATATCGATGTATTCCTGTTACACAGAACTGATGTGTAATACACCCGTGCTTTTAAATTCCTCAGAATCAATTTATTTCTACCCGTATGGTTTTTCTATGGGATGGGTATTTTATAGTCGAGTGGTTGCTTACTGAATTTATGCTTCGGAATCCTATAAGCTCACTGACTTCGTGTTTTCCGCGCACAGAAAGACGCGAGTTCTGATACATTCTAACAGATTTCGGAACGTGAGATAATTATTAAACGGTGAGGTTCTGCTTCAGTCGGCAGTATACAGAGGACCGTCAGGAGTGAGTTAAGGACGATGAAAACAGGGTCGAATTTTCGGTAGTTGAGAAGTCGATTTTGCACTGCAAACCGATTATTGTCGCTTAGTTCCATTGTGGCCACGCTTTATCCCCGATAAAGGACCGAGGTACCCATTGGATAGGAGACTGGGTGAGCCCCAGAGCCGGTCTGGACGCAGAGGCTGGAGGAAAAATCCTCTGCCTCCGTCAGGGATCGAACCCCGGTCGTCCAGCCCGTAGCTAGTCACTATACTGACTGAGCTATCCCGGCTCATCCATTGTTGCATGTAGTGGCAGATAAAAATGTTAGTTATGGCCTTAAACGAGATACACATGACATAAATTGGTGTTTTATCATGAAGCGAAACTGAAGTAGCTCAGGAAATAATACACTGATTGTTGTACAGATAAGGAAAGAAACGGAGTAGCGTGGTTGAAGACAGGCATTTGGAAATTTAGAGGGGTCAGAAGAAGCTCTGAGATACGAAAATGTAACATATAGCTTAATACAAATGAACAATTCGCTGTCAAGAGATTAACAAACTGTACTAAGGTGATTTGCAGAAAATATTGACATACACCCACATAAAAATGTAACTGGAAGAGTGAAGCTAGCAAGGTGTAATCAAAAGAAGAAGGGAAGAGATAAGATAATTATAAATGTAAATATGATTTCACAGAAAAGGAATAACGCGTTGAAATAAAAGACTATTCCCTTGTTCATGGCCTGCTGTACAACTTAATTTCATGCACTGTGGCAGAACAGATTCACGGGCTACGTCTTAATGGAAATGATAATCACAGATAGCGTAGTTTCGCAGCTTTCGTTAAGTCTGATCGCAAAACGTTTAGTTTTACAGAAATCTGGTCCACATTAATTTCCAGATGAATGGTAGCGCGCCTCAATACGCGCTTCCGTCCGTCCACAATTTCTGTTACATTATAAAATTCCATATCAAAATAAAAGACGCTTATGCAATTGTCGTGGCTGATATAATCTTCAGCTTCTCAGTAAACTGAAGATAGTAAAATTATTACAACGAGCATACATAAATTAAGAACAATTTAAATTTGAGGCCGAGTATCGCCGTAGACATCTTCTAAAAACATATTACTTCAATTAAAGGAAATTTTTCAGTGCACAAGAAGGCGCTGGACGACGCTACTGAAAAGTAAGAAGAAGGGAGATTATAATTTTTCGGCTATATATACCTACGATGTAGCCACCTTGCCTCGGTGCTGCATCATATTAACACGAGTAGTTCCTTCTGCTGAGTCGATCTGCGATGATTAATGAGAGAGGTCGACCGGCGAACGGAAGGAAGGAAGGAAGGAAGCAAGGAAGCAAGGGCTTAGACTCCTGACGTCAAAAGTCCCTCTAATACTGGGCCTGGAAGAAACCGCCCTCCGTTCAAGAAAACTCTCTACTAACAAACTGGAAAGCATCTGTTCTCGGGAAGTACGATCAGAGACGGATGCTTGTTATACACTACTGCTTCACCCTGACGTATCCTGAACTCCTTGATTCTTCAGGTGCGTCCAGCGTACTAGTGACTATTCCCCCGCGTTTACAGCCAAGCTCTTCCGGCACTAGCGAACCTGGAGGCCATGGCTCCGGTCGGTCGCTACTTCGCCTCGGTGAAGATGCACGTAGACGCACGCACAAGACGAACCGCGGGCGGTTTTGACAAACTTTAATCTTTTCTTTAGATTTTTGGAAAGGAGGTGGGAAGCTGAAGTATTATGAACCGTTTGAGTGTTCACATGGTAAATTTTCTCGCCCCTAAATTCGTCGCAAATATGATTTAAAAACTGTATTATCGCACTTATATTTTGCTACATTTTAAGGAGTTGTTTGCAGTTCATTTTTAATATCTGAGCACAGTGGGATCGTAGGTTTTAATCGCATTCAAGGCAGGGTTGTGTGTCCGGGTTTAACTGCGTTATGGTGTTCTGAGAAGGTAAACAACGGAAGGTGAATGACTAGTTGGCCGATTCAGGTCAAACGAAGCTGATGAGTATTTGTTGTCTAATGTTATTTATTAATAATGTTAAAATAAACGTTGCTTAGCTAAATAATTGAAGTTCTGAAAATGACAAAATTTGTGGGCATAAAACTGGATGCAAACTACCCATTATGTACAAATGTGTCTGCTGATAACCAGGTATTACTGGCAGAAAAAGAATGTTTACACAAAAAGGAATTTTTAGTTTGAATAAAATTTCGTAAATAGATCGTATGGAGATATCGGAAAATATATCACAGCTCATGGCAATGAGAGGAGTAAGTCAAGATTTTAAAAACTTGGGGTTGTCGAATTTGTGGTACAGAAGTAAATTAATATTTAAAAAAATATACAACAAACTGTAATAAAATTAATGGGATATTGAAGATACGTGACAATGGACAATGCTATTGGATTAAGATTTCATAGCGTGATCTCAGAAAGCAGGTTAATACATGGAAGTGAATGTCGAACCCTTGTGTCTAGAGATAAACAGAAGATTGCAAGGGGTTCGTTAAGGTATGGAATGTTCGAACGAGAAGTTAGACTGAATTTTAAATTGCTCCATATCGAACGAGAACAATAAAAGGGCGCTATCCGCATGAGTCTTTCGGCATATCCTCTTCTCGCTAGAAGGGTTTTCCAAGACTTTTCAATGAGAAGTAAAGCCTTTACCTACTCTTGCGTTATTTTCTTGTTTGCTTTATTTTACTTTTATTTTGTTCTTTTCTCTCTTTCACTTAGATTTCTCCTCTTCTCCCTCCATTTTGTGCCTTCCTTTATTTACTGTTGAGATCAAAATTGTACAAAACATTCTATCACATGCTTAGAATACGCTGTTCTTATACGTAATTTGTTCATCGTCCTTTGAATCTTCCACATGACATTATACCACATTCATAACAGTACGTGGTCTATATTAAGCATGAGCAGTTTGTTAGATCTGCTCAACTGAAGATTATTTTAATTATGAAACATACAAACTACTCACTCTCACTTCCTTCGCCGTTTTATTATTTGGTATCTGATACAGTAAAATAGACGAATAAACAAGAAAGAAAATGTCAAGTCAAAGTAGTGCTTTAAAGACAGGAGCGTGTTTAAAATGTGTGCAGTATTCCTGTCGGTCTGCTATTGTTAGACTGTCGTATTTCACGAGTATTCATGCTGCATATATAACAGATTATCACCGTATTAATCTTTTTCTTGAGACGTCATTTCTGAACTACAGTGGCTACCCCTTAAAATTGTTGTAACCCACTTCCTGAAGGCTACAAAACTCGGTCTGAGTTTTCTCCAGCATAACGCAGATCATTCCGACACACAGAAGGACAGGCAGAAGAAACTTCATGCTTCAATCTACAGCTAAATGAATTCTTCGGCGCATATCTCGTGTTTGGACGACTGTTTCTAAATGTAGTAGCGACTTTCTAAAACGTAACTTATTTAACTTTCATTTCAGTTTCCGAGTGCACATGGCAGAAACATTTGAATTCCTGCAGCGTAAGTCTGTATTACACACTTTTCACTTAAACACAGGATTAACAGACAAGCATAGAAAAAAAGAAAACAGAGAATCATCTGCTACGAAAAACAGAAAGTACTGTCTGTCTGACAATGAGCAGAGTATTGAATCGACCTTGAAGTCGTGACGTCATGCCGAATGTTGTCCTAAAATACTGCTCCGTACTAAAAATGTTCTCACTATTTGAGCAATGTGCATGATATTTAACACAATGGATGTGTTCCCAGTGAACTAGACTGATATACTAGATTCTATATAAACCATGAAATGCCAAAAACAGAAGAATGAGACCAAATACTAGAAGTCTAGGAAAAGTAAAGGGTATGTTTCTACTGTTCTCAGAAAACTTGAAGGAAGGAAAAAAACATGGGAATAGATATAGGATAATATTAAACCAGAACTTTACATAGTACAGGAATCTGTGGACTGGATTCATGTAGCTCAAGATAGGTTTCAGTCGCCGTGTTCTGTGAACATTACAGTGAACTTTAATGACCCTTCGGATTCCATGATAGGTGGTTTCATGGCTAGCTGAGCGACTATTAGTTTCCGACCGAAGAAGTATTTTTATAATCGACATTGTTTAAGGTGCCCTTGTTCCATAAAAAATCTTTTATTTGAGTCTAATATAAACGTCACATAAATTGTGACTGTTAAACTAAACGAGTTCGTCAAAAATCATTGAAGTCAATATGAGTATTTTGAATTACGCATTATTAGGTTACTCATCTGCGCGGACAATGAAGACATTTTATTCCAATCACGCTTTTCACATAGCATTCTGGGTCATTTTATCCCGTCAGGTGAATCAGGTTGATGGAAATTCCTCTGTGTCTTCTTGCACAAACTGTCACGGCGATGTCAGCTGTGTCAGTCATTTCAAGAGATGAAGTAGACGCTTTTAGAATGTTGGGGTGGGTGCACATAAAACTTTTGTTGAAATTTTTAAGGCCGCTGTTAAAAATGGGTGAAGGGACCTGCAAAACAGAATATGTCAAAAACCATTCCCAGAGTTTCTGCAGTTTTCACTGCCCCTAAGCTTTGCTCATATACCTTAAATCCACCCAGAACTGCTTAGAAAGCTCGTCGAGGGTAATGTACGAGGATTCTGTCTCCACCTTAAGATATAGGCCTGAAGATAAAGCAGGGAAATGTTCTAGTTGTTCTGTTTCAGGCTATTCAGTCGAATTTCAGGACACTGCCTTCAAGCAAACCACGAATAGGACCGGATATAATCCAAGTTTGTTTTAAGATCATCGTCTGAAACCGATCACACTTATTTATACCTAATTATTCTTTAAATTAAGCAATAGCAATTTGTTGTTACTGGTAGGGGCCTCCACATTTTGATTGCACCAGGGCCCCACAACTGTACATCCGGCCTTGACCACGACCTACATCCTCACTCGGTCCTCTATTCACTTTCAGAATTATATATCGTCACTTTTCCCCTTCCGTGATATGACCTACCTATTTTTGTACTCTAAACGTCTAATATAATTTTATTTGTTATTAAATTAGTGTGTAATTTTATTTTATAAATTATAAATGTTTATTCTCTTTGAGCATTAGGCTTTTCCATGTGTTACGCCTCAGAATTAATGCTGAGACAGTGGACGTTGTTTCAGAGACGCTGTAGGACGTCTAGGTTTGGGGTAAGTCCCACGCCAGCTTATAACAAGGAAACTTTCATTCCTCGAACAGGATTCAGACAACTGAATAGCGGCTGAAAATAAAGATCAGAAGTGGAGTAAAGGTTAGTTACCGCTGACTAGAGAACAGGTTATGTGAAATCTACAGAAACCTGATAGTGGGTAACCGTAACCTTGTCTTGTATTTGAAGCTGTGTTTGGACGCGCAAGCGCAGTGTTGAGGCCTATTGATTGTAAAACCACACCCCAGCCGACGGAACATGGACTCAGCCTCCTTCAAATCGCTTATATAGCAAAGAGACTGGTCATCCCACTGATTTAACTTCTTATCTTGACTAGTATCTCGTGACAGTTTCGTCTGTAGACCGGGAAATTGTCTGACTCTGTGACCAGAAAATGCTTGCAGTGACATGGCCATATTAAACATGGAGCAGCTGCCTGCCCACACCATTTCCGTCTCCTTCATAGGCCAGATCGTCTCTGGTAGGACGGGTCGTGGGTTCGATTCGTGAGATATCATAGCTTCGTCAGAGGGATGAATGTTTAGGATTCATGTGACAGGTGTCTGAGGATGAGTGCAGGGGAACAGCAAACCCACTAAAGTCTTACAATATGGCCGAATAAATGGGATTTGAACCTAATGTTTATATCACCCATCATAATTGCTTCATCGGCTTTCGTGTGCTGTAATTAATCCCTCCAGTAATGCCTGTACAGTATCTTGAAATATGCCACGACTCTCTTTTCCCAGCCGTTTCTGTGTTACAGGATCAGTTCATTCGACGCTAAGAATCCACCATTGATGCAGGATACATTTTGCTGTGTGGCTGTCCCATTACCACCTCACCCTCCAAGGCCATCTTGCAGTTGCAATTTTGAATTGCAAAAAGTAGCCCTAGAAGTAAATCTCAGCCTTGCGTTGTATTCACGCAGCACGTGGCCCCTCGTGACTCCTTCCACAACTAATGTTCGACCCGTGTGCTACTAGGAACGACAGCAACACAGGGAAAGCAGAATAAGAACGGATATACAAAGGTGCAGTTATTCGTTGCGTGCATTATCATGTATGGAAATGCACGTCTTGGTGTGCCTCCAATAATATCTTTTCTAGCCATCAGACGGATTGTTTTGAACGTGGGGCCCATTGAAGATTAAGCAAAGAAATGACTCACTAAATTAGCCAACATAAACATATAACTCCTACTTCTCAAATTCGGTAGGTCCCAGGTTCAAATCTCGGAGTGGGGACCACAAACTGGCCTTGTCACTTCCTTCGTTCATTGTAAATGAAGCGATCTCCTTGTTTACTTTAACAGGAAAACGCCTTTTATATGTTTGTTGTTAATTCATGGACTTTCTGTAATCCATTCTTAAAACTGCAAATAAATAGATAGCGGTACTACTGCAAGCACGCGTGGGAAAGAGAAGAAATTCTCACAAAGTATTGGCTGGAAAAGCTGAAGGGAGAGACCGCTTAGGAGATTCTGACGTAGGTGGGATAATCAGGGACGACAAGTCTAAAATAACGTAACTGGGTAAGATGACACACGTATGTTATTGACAAATGTATGATTCAAATGATTTTAAGTTTTGCGCCTATAGGTTGATCATGTTGGTACTAAACTACAGTGAAACATGGCGTAATGTGAAAGCGTGTGTACCAAGCTTCGTGTGCAAAAGTATCTTTCTGACGCTTCTGTTACGATTTGTAGTGACTGTTTATCAACATTGCAGTCTGAGATTTGTGATTACTTGACTGAAACACATATCCAGTGAAGAATTTGGAGGTAAGTGTAATTAATACCTATCTCTTGAATCAGTGTATGTTGTGCTGTTTAGGTTATGGTTAGGAAACCAACTGAAGCCAACTTTGGGTTAAATGACATAGAAGGTTTGTTTGTGAACTTTGTACACATACCTAGTAGCACAGAGTATATTCCTTGTCAATTGCTGACATTCAGTTTTATGCTTTCAAACGTTACTATGAAGAATCAGACTTTTACTACATTTGTAATTTGATTATTTGAATATTATATTTTTACCTTGGTATTAAAAGGAAGGTGCTGCTTTTATTGCGTTACATTGGTCTGTTACCTGTTTAGCTCCTAGTTATTATAATGATGATAAAATTTGATGTTATGCAATCATAATTGGTAAATATATTAGTTGTTTATGTGAAGAGTGTTAAGTATGTCATTTTACCCAGGAGCTTGGCCTAAAATAACAAATTGTGGGAATTTTGATAATATAGTTTTAATGCCTATAGGAAGATTAGTTGCATATTAATAGTAATTTCTTCAGACTTTAGATATTACAGAAAGCATGTAGTTAAAGATTCAGAGGCCAGTGCTAATGCTTTAAACCAGTTTAATGTTGATTTAAGCCAGTTTAGCCTATTAGACTATTAAGATGGGTCTAAAGGAAATGGGACTTAATCTGGCACAGTGTAGGACCCAGTGGCTGGCTCTTGTGAGCACAGTAATGGAATTTCGGATTACAATAGACAGATATTGATTGATTAGTTGAGTGGCTACTGTATTGGAAAGCTTTCAAGAACCTGTTTCAGGAGATGGTTTTATTTTGTTGATAGTGTTTAAAATGCTCATTTGAACCATAAAAATGGTTTTAGTTGCATAATAATGGGCAAGTAAAAATCAAATTTAAACAAACAGAGGAAGTGTAAACGAAAGTCAGTTAACTGCATTTAATCAGGGTCAAAAACAGTTGGGAAACACAGTACATTATAGGCTTTTGGCTCATAATAAATATTTACTGCCATAAATTCTATAGAATCTGTCTGACACACATATTCGACACAATTCCAGTGTTATACCATTTACTGTCATTGCCGAGTATTATTGTGGGCAGCAAGCCAGTATTATTTTTAGGTTAATGCTAAGATTGGGACAGCTTCTTCAAAAGAAACTGTTCGAGAATCGCAGTACTGGATTCAGTGAAAGCGCTCGTATATAATTTGTACAGTGAAGTAGATGGACAGGCAAACGCTTCGAAGTTACTACAACGAATTATTTTTCCTTGTTATGAAATGCGACAGGGTCTGGTGGAGGGCTTTGATTAATTCGGTGACGAACCTTCGGGTTCTATAAGCCAATTAGTTAGTTAGTTTAGTTATGAAATGCGCCTAAATGTAGACGCCGAAAACCGACTTCGCAGTCGAGTGGTTAGAACGCGGATTCAAATCTCATCTTGAGCCCGGAAACACGATTGAGGATTTTTGTGATTTCTCTTAGGTCCGATGAGAGATGCCGAGGCCCGGGCCCATCCTGACCTATAGGTCGAGCTACTGACGGCGTCTTTGAATAAAACACCAACAAACACAGTAAATACATACATGAATACCAACACATACTTCTGAAAACATTAAAATCTCTAGACTGGAACTCGAGATCAGATTTCAGTTTTAAAATTCACTTTACTAAATATTTCTCCACAAGCGAGTCTGAGGACTACATATTTGTTTATTTCACATTGCTACACGAAGTTAAACAAATAGCCTTGTTAAAATGTAATGTCACATTGGACGCGCCTGAATACAAGCTTAATTAAACCCAAGCACGGTGATGCAAAAAAAAAAAAAAAGTGAGGGCGTCGCTGAAAGGAGACGGAAATAAACCCGCTACTGCAGAGGATGAATCAGATTAACGGACAAAAGAATAATAAACTCTATTATGAGAAGCGAACCATAAAATAGAAAGGAAAGGATTCGAATTTCTCTGGGAAGGAAACGAACTTCCGAATGAAGAATTTTTAACCTAGTTTCATAATACTTTTGACAAACAAGTACCCTAGATTGGGGACTTCATTTCGAGACGAACAATTTTTCTTACTCAGAAGTTCACCGCGTCAGGTTCTACGATGTGTGACAACGTAATTTGAAGATAAAACATTCGCTGATAGGAACTTTTAGGCGTCTTTCATGAAATATAGGGTGATTTAAAACCAAAAGCCAATATAAAAAGCTAATAATTATATTTGGCCATGGTCTAATTTTCAGGCCACGGCAGAGATATTTGAACCAGTTACTATAACTACTGTAAGCCACGGTGGTCTAGTGGTTAGAACGCTGGCCTTGTAATCCTGGGGTCTCGGGTTCGATTCCCGGCGGTGCCCGAATTTATAACTTGTGTTGGGCAAGGCCGTGGTCCAGGCAACAAGGAGTTTTCCTACGGGGGCTTCACCGGTTTCTCCGTGACATCCCAACAATTACTCCATTCACACACAGAAGAAGGCAATGGCAAACCACTTCTGGATCATCTGCCAAGAATGTATATATGTATGAGCAGGTCCCTGACAACCTGAAGAGGATGGAAGGATCCTGTTCATAATATATGGACCTGTCGTCAGAAAGAACACTAAATAAAAAAACTATAACTACTATAATTCCGACTGTTTCAAGTTCCCTCAGAATCCCTCCCAATTTCAGTTTTCCCTCACTCAACAGCTGACAGCAACACGCTGTGGATTATTCACACATTTTCATGCCTTTTCGACCGAACACGTGTTACGTCAGGATCAGTCAAAAAGACCACTCTTCATGAATATTTCATGTCGTAAAATAACTGTCGGTCATGTTAGTTAGTGCAGACAGGTCTGCTAACAGATTTTTATTCGTATCGCTATAACAATTCCACAACGCTTACTTTTTGAAAGGGATGTATTATTTTCTAGCTACCTACTATTCCAGTTTCAGCAGTGTATGTAAATTATTCGTTTCAACATCTGAACAAGTTCAGTCTTGATTTATCAGCGTTGTTTTAGTTTGTATAATTCAGATGGAAAACAAAGCAGAACTATTGTCGTGTAGTTCAGAGGGAAACAAAGCCGTATTGTTGCCGTGTCATTCAAACAGACAACAAAGCTGCATTATTACATATAGTTCAGAGTGAAGCAAAGCGCTACTCTTACCATGAATTGCAGAGAGAAACCGAAACAGTTGTGCTAATGTTTTGTTCAGAGAAAATTCAGATCAAATCTGTTACCGTGATATAGTAAGAAACATTCTCACCGCCAGTGGGAAAAAAAGAAAAAGAAGAAGTAAATGTAAAATTAATCCGTCATGCATTGCGATCTAAGAACTGCGTTTAAAATATTGCTCTTATTGTGAACATTTATCAAGATACAAACGAAGTACAGCAATACAGTCAGGAGATGAATCATGCAAAAATTGCTTTCTAATGCTGGTGCACGCAGTAAACAACACAATCAACACATTGTATTGTCGACCTATTGACCTGAGGAAAGAAAAGAGAAGGGATGTGTTGCAAAACTGGTAGCTAGGATAATATTTTAGGAAGAGAGAGGGTATAGCAAGAAAATGGAGAAAATAGCATACCGAAAAGCTTCATGATCTGTGACCTTCACCGGAATATTACTAGATTATTAAATCACAAGGAGTGAGATAGTTTTTAAAATTCTCAACGTCATTCGAAGGTTATTTCTTCAAACGCCTATTTCTGGCGATCTGCAGGAATTTGAATGACCATTTTAATGTCAGTTAGGGGTCATGCACATGTCAGCGTCATATCATAGTCACGGCAATATCAGTCCGTTTGTTTTCCGAATAGAAGGTTCTAAATTTCTCAAGGTCATTGGCAGGTCGGTTTTTCAAACGCATATTTCTGCCGATCTGCAGGAATTTGAATGACCATTTTAATGTCAGTTAGGGGTCATGCACATGTCAGCGTCATATCATAGTCACGGCAATATCAGTCCGTTTGTTTTCCGAATAGAAGGTTCTAAATTTCTCAAGGTCATTGGCAGGTCGGTTTTTCAAACGCATATTTCTGCCGATCTGCAGGAATTTGAATGACCATTTTAATGTCAGTTAGGGGTCATGCACATGTCAGCGTCATATCATAGTCACGGCAATATCAGTCCGTTTGTTTTCCGAATAGAAGGTTCTAAATTTCTCAAGGTCATTGGCAGGTCGGTTTTTCAAACGCATATTTCTGCCGATCTGCAGGAATTTGAATGACCATTTTAATGTCAGTTAGGGGTCATGCACATGTCAGCGTCATATCATAGTCACGGCAATATCAGTCCGTTTGTTTTCCGAATAGAAGGTTCTAAATTTCTCAAGGTCATTGGCAGGTCGGTTTTTCAAACGCATATTTCTGCAGGTCTGTAGGAACCTGAATCACCACATTTATGTCAGTTTGATGCCATTGATAGGTTAACGTCACTTCAAGACCACTACAAGTTCAGTCCAAGGTTTTTATGTTATATACGTAGGTCTTTAAAGTTTCTAAAGCTCACTTCAAGAACCATTTTTCTTGCTCTTGTATCTAAACTGTATTGTGTAGTTTGTGTGACCATTTTCATGTAAGTTTGCAGCCTCTTAGACCCTGCGCGCACGAGGTGTTTGGGCCGAAGTGGTTTTTTCTTCCGCATTGTTGGAACGCACTGTTTCAGTATGTGAATAATTTCTTTGGATACATACGCATGTCTTCATATAACTTGTGAAATTGGGCTTTCAACAATCTTTGACTTACTTTATTTCTATATTTTGCCCCTGCTCTTAGCAAAAAGCTCACACAATGACAGTCTCAACCAAATCCATACCTCGACTTATCAGCTTAGAACACTCGCCAACTGTCTCCACAAAATCCAGCTCCCAACCGAAAAGAAAACGCAGACAATGCGTTTATTTCACCGCCCGTGTGCACAGGCAACTAGAATATGCGGTTGCGGTAGTTTTACCGCTGCGACAGGAAAACCGATCGTCCTTAGGATCTTAGGGTAGTTTGTTGTGTCCGAAGAGGAAAGC